TAAAACAAATAGTCTGCACATTTTCCTTTTAATAAATTTCAAGAAATCTGAATGATCTAAAAGATATAAAAGGCTGAAAATGAATCATGTGACTGAAAAGAACCACTCTTTAATTTATGATATTAATTTTAAATTCTGTGTTGTATGTTTAAAAGGGCTGGCATTTTGATGTTAGCAATCTTTTAGTTAGGAATACCAGTTAACCTCTTAGAAAATATGCTTCACTGATAGAACAATCAATTTAATATCATAACTTCATTTATTTTATCTATGCTTTTATTATTTTCAACTTTCATGAATGGAAAGGCAATGAGATTGGCTAGTCCGACTGTAGAAAATGATCTTCCCCCGGGGCTGGGGTGGTGGCTCAGAGGAAAAGTGCTTGCCTAACATGCGTGAGGCAATGACTTCGATCACCAGCACCACATAAAAATTAAATAAAGGTATTGTGTCCACCTACAACTAAAGAATAAATGTAAAAAGAAAGAAAGAAAGAAAATGGTCTTCCCAAAGCTATGTTGACTGAATTCAAAAATGCTATCAAGATACTTGCTGTATAACAGAACTTGTTTTGCAAATGATGGTGGTGAAGCTCCTGGCATCTGTGTAGCTCTTATTGGTCACAGATGCATGGGGGGTAGCCCCAGGGACCTCCTCTGAGCATGATGGTTTGCTCAGGTAACAGTTTCTCTTTCAGTCCTCCATCCAGAACCTTGGTTTCTGTAGCAGCCCTCTACAGTAGTAGCAGCTTGGGTCAGTAGTAACAGCTTGGTGGTGGAGGGGGAAGACTGTGGTAACTCAGTTATTTCCATTTTCCACATCATTTTCTTTGAATGGACTGAAGAATTCAAAGTGCTTCACGAGGCACTGCAAGGCACCCTCAAAAAATGCTGCTGGCTTCTCCTGTGCCTTAATGCCAGCTCACATCCGTTATGTGCTTATTGTGTGCCAGCAACAGGATAAGTATTTAAAGTCTCATGTAAATCTTCTGAGGTGGTGCTGTGTTTTTCTCCATTTTACACATGAGGAAATTATACCCTGGAGAAGCCACACCATTTGTCTAAGATTTTCTAGGTAATAAAGAATAGTACCTTAGAATTCTGAAACACAGTTGTTTTGTCTCTGATCAGCTCTGGCGGGTCATATCTTCAGAGCTAACCACACAGAAAGACTGGAAATCTACAAGTTTTGTCATTATTTTTCTCTCAGTAACATGCCACTACTTTGATTTTTCTAAACCTCTGTGTCTCTCGATAGCCCATAATATAGATATTTAGGAAATGGACCTTGATACCAAAATAAAGAGAAGTCCAAAGAAAAGTCCTTAGTGGTGATTTGGTTTAAAGCTAGATCTTGAGGGTCCTTTACTAGTATCATGGTCTGAGTGGCTTCCTTTCTGCCAAATTCATAAGTTGTAAGTTCTAACTTCCTAGTACCTCAGAAAATGTCTATAAAGATAGGACCGTTAAAGAGGTGAATAAGGTAAAATGAGATTATCTGGGTGGAGTCAACCTAATCCAATATGACTAGAGTCTTTAATAGAAGCGATTAGGACACAGACTCACACAGGGTAAGACCATGCAAGACAGAAAGAAGACAATGATAGAAGAAAAAGTTGGCTACGATCTACATACTGTTGGGTCGGGCTCCAAATTCCTTAATAGGACACCCATAGCACAAGAGTTAATAACAAGAATCAACAAATGGGACTTACTTAAACTAAAAAGTTTTTTCTCAGCAAGAGAAACATAAGAGAGGTAAATAGGGAGCCTACATCCTGGAAACAAATTTTTACTCCTCACACTTCAGATAGAGCCCTAATATCCAGAGTATACAAAGAACTCAAAAAATTAAACAATAAGATAACAAATAACCCAATCAACAAATGGGCCAAGGATCTGAACAGACACTTCTCAGAGGAGGACATATAATCAATCAACAAATACATGAAAAAATGCTCACCATCTCTAGCAGTCAGAGAAATGCAAATCAAAACCACCCTAAGATACCATCTCACTCCAGTAAGATTGGCAGCCATTATGAAGTCAAACAACAACAAGTGCTGGCGAGGATGTGGGGAAAAGGGTACACTTGTACATTGCTGGTGGGACTGCAAATTGGTGCGGCCAATTTGGAAAGCAGTATGGAGATTCCTTGGAAACCTGGGGATGGAACCACCATTTGACCCAGCTATTCCCCTTCTTGGACTATTCCCTAAAGACCTTAAAAGAGCATATTATAGGGATACTGCTACAACGATGTTCATAGCAGCACAATTCACAATAGCAAGACTGTGGAACCAACCCAGATGCCCTTCAATAGATGAATAGATTAAAAAAAATGTGGCATTTATACACAATGGAGTATTACTCTGTACTAAAAAATGACAAAATCATTGAATTTGCAGGAAAATGGATGGCACTAGAGCAGATTATGCTAAGTGAAGCTAGCCAATCCCTAAAAAACAAATGCCAAATGTCTTCTTTGATATAAGGAGAGCAACTAAGAACAGAATAGGGAGGAAGAGCATGAGAAGAAGATCACCATTAAACAGGGACAAGAGGGGGGAGGGAAAGAGAGAGAGAAGGGAAATTGCATGGTAAAGGAAGGAGATCCTCATTGTTATACAAAATTACATATAAGAGAAAGTGAGGGTAAAGGGGAAAAGAAAACAAGAGAGAGAAATGAATTACAGTAGATGGGGTAGAGAGAGAAGATGGGAGTGGAGGGGAAGGGAGGGGAGGGGGGATAGTAGAGGATAGGAAAGGCAGCAGAATACAACATACACTAGTATGGCAGTATGTAAAAAAGTGGATGTGTAACCGATGTGAATCTGCAATATGTATACGGGGTAAAAATGGGAGTTCATATCCGCTTGAATCAAATGTATGAAATATGTCAAGAGCTTTGTAATGTTTTGAACAACTAATAATAAAAAAAAATACTAAAAAAAAATTAAAAAAATAAAACTGAAAAAAAAAAAGAAGACAAGCCAGAGAGAGCCTTTGAAGGAATCAGCCCTGCCAATCACTTGATCTTAGATTTCTAGCCCCCAGAAATGTGAGAAATTAAATATCTGTTATTGAGGCACTGAGTCTGTGATACTATGAAATGATAGCACTAGTAAACTAGTACAAGTGGATTTGCATAATCTTTAGTATCCAAATTAAGAGTGTTCATGATGATTCGATATCCCTGTTTAAAAATCAGAAATCTAGTCCAGAAGAACAGTTACAAGTTAAATCTAGTTAAGAAGCAATTCATTTCCCAAATTATTTTATTGTACTGAAATTTTATTGCCCTACATGGAACTTGACTAAGAGGTTTGGTGTGGGCCTTGGCATATTATTCAGTTAATCTTGACCAGGTTTATGGTAAGAGTATTGGCTCTGAAGGCAAATTGGAGAAACTTTTTGGATTTCTTCACACAACTATTTTGACACACTTACCTTGGAAAGAATAAACCTTTGCAGATTCTCACCAAATTCACTTTGTATGAACAAATGCAGAAATTCCTGAGAAATTATGGCAATTCTGGCTGTTAAAATAAGAATAAAATATGTGCATGACCAGTGAAAAAAGAAAGAAAGAAATCAAGAATAAACTCAGTCTTATCCAAAAATATTCAAATATTGTCCATGAAAAAAAAATCCTCCTTTACTTTCAATTCACTAAGTGTTTTTAAAGGGTGCACATGGTACTATAGAGAAATAGAATGAGAAGGTAACCCTGATTTCAATTATTCCTTGATAAGATATGAGAAAAAAAAAAGATGCAGATACAAATAGCCATAATTTCATGTAGACATTGATTCAATCTATAATGGAAGTAAAAATTTAATGGAATCACAGAGGCCTGAGAAGGTAATTCAAGCTAAGGGCACTGGGCCTTTTGGTAGAGGTGCTGCTGGTGTTGGGTCTGGAGGTTGACAGGTGGAATTGCAGAGGGAGGAATGTTCGAGGCAGATGGATTAACACAAGGAAAAACAGATGTTGTTGAGTGCAAATCATGTTCAGTGAAAAAGTAGGAGTGTGTCATGCTTACATGAGGGGACACATTGAGAGGAAGAGCCGTTTGCCCCTGCATAGAGTCAAAGGACCTGGGTGTGAGTCCTGTGTTCACCATTTACTAGATTTATGACCTCAGTCTTCCTGAGTCTCAAATTCCTCATCTGTGGAAATCTCCAACTAGCAGAGCATGACATGCAATAAAACTTCAGTAACTGTTAGCTGAACTTAAATAGTTCAGACTTGATTCTGTAGGATATGGAAGCCAATATAAATTTTAAACCTGCAAATAAGATAACCAGAAGTAGATATTTAAAAATTTATCTCAGCAATACTGTGTGTTGAATAAATTAGAGGGCAGCCACTGTCCAAGAAGGAAGACTGCTCAGGAGAGTGCTGCAATAGTGTAGCTGAGGGATAGAGAGAGCCCAAAGAAGGCTGGTGGGATGGAAAGGAGGTGATGGATGTGGGAGACTTTCCTGGGGAGCAAAACGGCACTGGGCTATACAACCTGGGACATGGCATGATGTGCGGAAAATCAGATTCTAGTCATATTTTTTTTTCAAGTAATAACATAACCTCTAGGGCTAGCTACCTCTGCAGATTCTCTGTTTTTACATCTACAAAACATATTGAAAAATCCTGAGCACTAAAATATTTCAAGCATCTTTAGAATCAACAAGCCTTGTTAAATGAGTAGATAAAAAAGCAATGAACATATGGGAGATAAAAAAATTGAAATTAGCATGGAGAGAAAAGTTTTATGCATTATTGAGTCAACAATTAGAGGATTTCATTACTGATAATATAGAAGAGAGGAAAAGGAACAGGTTGGGTGATGATATGATAAATCTTGTTCCAATAAATGTTATTTTTGAAGGGCTGTCCTTTGATTAGACATGTGATTTTATGAATATTCAAAAATTAGTTATTTTAGACTATCTTATAGCATGTAAACATGCAATTTGGAAACAAATATCTTTTTCTTTATAGATTCTTTTCATTGGTGATTCAACCAACAGAGGGATCATGTACTATCTGATTGAAAGACTAAATGAAACGCTCCAGGAATGGCAGAAGGTGCATGGAACTAAATTGTATCCCAACGTCAATGGTGGGAAGACATTGGTTAGTTACTCCTACTATCCCCAGTTTTGGATAAGTCCTTCACTGAGACCAACATTTGAGAAAGCACTTGAACATCTCCTGCAAAGGTACAATGGAACTATTATGAATGGCACAAGGCCACAATGTCCTGATGTTTTACTAGCAGTCATAATTGCTCACTGTATATCAAATGTGCTGAAAGGCTTAGATACTCAGTAATGTGGCTGAAAACGAGTTGCAAATGACAAGAAGGTCCTGTGATCAGGAAGCCAGACATGGTTCAATGAAATGTGAGGCAATGCAGTTAAAATGTTTACCATCTGTTTTAAAGCAACATGTGTTGTTTTTCTTTCTGGATTTCAGATCACGTCCCCTAGAGAATACTGGCCAGACTGTATTGGTTGTTGGTGGTGTTCAGTGGCTTAATTCCAACCACCTGCAAATTATTCACAAGGTTTTGAAAAGGTAAACTGCTGTGACAGTAATTGTCATTGATATTTAAAAATTTTTAAAAGGTGATATTGATAATGGCTAAGTTTTATCAAGACATTTACTTAAATAACACTTCATAATTTAAACTTAGATTTAAAGCCTGGTTTAAAATATTTCAAAATACTTTTATATCTAATCACAACAGGACTCTTCATTATTCAAATTTAAATTTGATACAGATCAAAACCTGTCCACTGATACCAAACTCAATCCACAAAATCCCCTAATACACATCAAATCTGTAAAATGGGAATTTGGTCCTGGATGCCAGTTATCTGATTCTCAAAGGATTCTGCTTGATTTTGGGGGGTAATTAACAAACACCTAAGCTGTAATTATAGTTTGTGACTTTGGAATTCTGATCATTTCATTCAGGGAAAATTTACTCAATATCCTAGTGATCATCAAAACTTTGGGAATTGGATTCCATCTGCCAGTGGACGGAGTTCATTTCTTAACACAGGTAAGCCCGTTTCTTCTTGGCTATGTGAACTTCATAATTCCGATTTTGATCCCTGTTGGAAAAGGTTCCAAAAAGGACACCTTCATGATGATCAAAAAAGATTATATACTTAGAGATTATAATTTCAAATCATTTATAATTATTCCTGGAAAAATGAAACCATAGCCCACAAATGTGTTGCAAATAATTTGCATTGAGTTTATAAAAGAAAAAGGGGTGCTGAACCATGCAAAATTAAGAACTAAGGCATATAAGAGAGAAACCTCTTCAAGTATCAGTTACCCATCAAGTTTTCATATGCCTTTCTAGGCTATATAAAAAGGCTTTCTTTTCTTCAGGTTCAGGCTAAGACCACAAATGAAATTGCCAATATCAAAGAGTCCTTTGGAAAGGAGTGGCTTTTTTGAAGACAATTGCTTTTTTTTTTTAATATCTTTGAAGTAGTATCATTGTCTTTTTCCCTATAGTTGGACATTCATGAATGAAAGGAGTTAGAGGCTTCTGACCAGAAGAAGATAATAAATTCTTCTCACCACTGAATAGAAACTGCAGAACAAAAAAGAAAAACCACATCTGTAGGTCAGAGAACCAGCTGCTCTTGCTCAAGCGAGGAGAGTCCACCAGCAGCCCAAATCTGCAGACAATTGCACAGTCATGGTTCAGGGGCGTAGTGGGAAACTGGGCAGGCAGGAAACTGTCCATTTGATATGTAAGGAGTTAAGATTTATTTTTGTGTCTGTGTTGAGTATACCTAGCTTTTCCCAGCACTGAGCACATTACCCCCTCTCTTTTCTGGAAACTTTATATCTTCTATGATACCAAAACGGGAGAACTGGTTGAAAGTGACTGATGTTAAACCTTCAAATTCAGCATCTTGAACTCAGCAAGGTTTAAGATAACTTAAAATGAGTTGAGCCATTTAAAAAAAAAAAAAAAAAACTGAGGTTGCTGAAGGGCTAACGTTTACTGGGGACCAGGAAAGGGGACTCTGATCATTTTTGGTGTGGGTTATGAATTGGAGCCCCTTTAATGTTATCTGAGGGCTACCAGCTGAGATTGCAATTCCTTCTTGACTCTGGTAGCTCCCCTGTGCTGCTTTGACTGCAGCTCCTTGGAGCAACTGGAGCATTCATGGCTCCTGCTTATATTTAGGTTATTAACTCACAATCCACTCATTCCAGCTAACATTTCTTCAGCATTTGCTGTGTGCCAGACCCTGCATCAAAGACTTTGCCTGCCACCAGAGCTTTGCTGGTGCTCATCAGTCTTTTCCAACAGAGTAAGGACAAAAGGAAGGAAGGAGAAAAATAGTAATATGGCAGAAAGGGATAATAGCAAGTAAAGACAGAACATAAATCTCAACCCCCATCATATACTTGCAAGACTGATAACTGCCCTCCTCTCTAGAATTATCCATTTTTTCCTTCGTTCCCAGAGCACATGCACACATATGCCTACACACACACACAGAAACACACACACACACACACACACACACACACACACACACACTGAGCTCAGTCAGGCTAAGCATGTGCTGCTTCTCAAGCACACCATGCTTTCAGGCCTTTGAAACCACTGTTCTCTTTTCTTGGATCCTACTCTCCCCACCCCTTCACCTGTGTCACCTCCATGCCCCCTCACTAGTTTAAGTGCTTCCTCTGGGAGGACTTTCTGGACACATTTGACTAGGTTATTTTCTCCTACCATGAGTGGCTAGAATAGTGTCTATGTCCTCACTCTTATCACCCAGCGCACACAAACCTTGATTGTTCATCTTCCTGATGGGCTATAATCTGAGAACAGGGACATACATGGAGGTAAGGAGACCTTGCATGGGTCAGTCTGGTACCCCAAGTGCCAAACACGTTTCTTAACACATAGTGGACCCACAAAAATATGGCTTGTGCACAAAAGAATGAGTGATTGTCTTAGTGATTTGGATGTCCCCAGATCACCCTTTCCCATTCATTCCTGTCCTAATGATGACTCCCATCTGAGTCCCAGCAGAAATTGTCTCTTGCTGCAGAGGCCCAACATGCCCATGCTGGAGTGCTGAGACTCAGTACCCTTTCTTGACCTGGGCCACTAGGGTCATCTCCGCTCTAGAACTCCAGGTGGCATTAGCGAGAGCTTCTTTTGCTACTGCATTGCAATTCAACTCTTTACTCTGCCCAGTTCATCTTCCCTTGCTCCCTCATATGTGTTGATCCCCAAAGCACTGTCCTGTTAGCTCCCTGCATTCAAATATCTATTTCCTACAGAACTGGTCTTTCTCTAGAAAAATTTCTCTGGAAAATGCTTAAAGTTTCATGTACCTTTTGTAACTAGGTACATTAAAATGAGAGAATACTTGTAACTGGACAAGAAGCCTACACATGAAATTGAGAATATTGAATATCATTTTTTTTTTTTGGAGTTGGGAGATTACCAGGGATTGAACTCAGGGGCACTCAACGACTGAGTCACATCCCCAGCCCTATTTTGTATTTTATTTAGTGACAGGGTCTCACTGAGTTGCTTAGCCCCTCACTTTTGCTGAGGCTGGCTTTGAACTCACAATGCTCCTGCCTCAGCCTCCCAAGCTGCTGGGATTACAGGCGTGCGCCACTGTGCCTAGGGAACATCATTTTTATAGGATCATGAAGGCCCAGAGAAAATTTGCATGTCTCTTTCCTCCAGGGTGTTTCTTTTGAGCCTTTTCTATTTGCTACCTTTATTTTGAAGTAAACCCTCTTCTCGGTCATGTACAAATAAATATGCAAGTACAGTGAAAGCAGAAAATTTTATGTATCTGACTGCTTCTTTTACCTTGTAGTTGGATTAACAAATGGAAGCTATTATTTGTCTTTTTACCTATGAAATTATATTTGTCCTTTGAGAAAAGGAAAAGTGAGTGCAATACATTCCCTGTGTCAGTTTGGCTTCTCCAAGCACAGACAAGATTAACTGAAAAAGAGATAAACAAGGGGGATGCCTGATACAGGGTAAAAGATAAAGGGAGAGATGTGGGCGAAGGCAGGAGGCCCTTCAGACCACAGCATCCCAATGCATGTTACTGGATCCTGCACCAAATATCTTTTGAGTGCCTAGCATTCCCTGGGAACTGGACTGGACTGCAATGGGTCTGATATGAAAAGAGAGGAAGAAGGATGATTTCAGTAGAAAGCCTAGGATAGCAGGTCAGTTCTGAGAAACTTAGCCAAGCCACGACAAAGCCCTGAAGCCACAATGATTAGCAGAGTGCACCTGAACTAGAACTCCCAGCCATGCTCAATCATTGCCAGGGACTTGGCGCCTGAGGGAGGGAGGAATCTGATCCACAGTAACAGCAGCTGGAGCCTTCACTCAAGTCTGCTGCTCCCCCAAGCACACACCTCTCTTCCAGCCAGCAAACCTCACTCAAGACTGCTCAGAACCTCCTCTTAAAGCCTCACCATCCAGCTCTCCCCTGGCCCTGACAGCTACTCCTTCCATCAGTGCAGAACCTGGCATATTTTCCTCTAATAAAGGACTTAATAGCTGTTTATGAATCTGTTTCTCTTATTAGAATGCAGTGTCTTAAGAACAGAAACCACAATTTATTTATCCTTGTATTCCTGACTTGCAGCTAGAAACTAAGCACAAAGCAGATGCCAATTAATGTGACTCAATAAATGAGAATCCAAATAGCTGAACCTAGCACTCATGATTCTTAAATGTCAGTTTTCAAATTGAAGTTTTAAAATATTTATTATAGGCAATACATTTAATTTCTTTCTGTGTAAGGGAAAGTTCAAAACTATGTGTCTCTATACATTTTTATGCAACACACACTCTCAAACAGTTATATTGATGTCTTGAGAGAAAAAAGGATAGAACATGTCTTTATTTTAAAAATGCATGTGAAATTCTTTATTGCACAATAGAACCGATTTCTGTTTTAAAAGATGGCATTTATATGGTTTCTGCTTGAGTTATGAAATCATAAAATAATCTACTGCTAATAAAAACCCTTATTCTTCTACTTTGCAATACAGAGTGAAGTACAAAATGTATGGAAAGAAAATATGATTATTCTGGATGCTGCAAAAAGTTATGGCTATGAAGTGGTTGACACATTCACTATAACCATGGGGCGATATAAAGAGTTTCTGCAGGGCAGTTGTGGATGTCATTTCCATGAGGTATTTATGCTGGCTTTCTAATTTTTATAGCTTTTTATTTGAAAGAAAAATTTGTACCTTTATTTTACATAGAAGAAAATTATATCAGAAGGAGATCAAGTGATGTGCTCATCCTCACTCAGGCAAGACTTGTAGTAATTACAAATTTGGCTATTTAAATTAGTTGTTACAGCACCACCAAAAAAAAAAAGTTGTTAAAATTAGATGCTTAAAAACAAGGGTCATTGGTCAATGCATGTGGGAAGATAGGAACCTGGGAACCTGGAGAGGGCTTGCCTTCCCCAACACACTTCAAGCCCTCCCATCAGAAATCTCATCCAAAGGACATGGCAAAAATATTCAGCTTGGGAATCAAGTCTATTGAACGTGCTACACTAATTGAGTGTTTAACTAATGCATAGCAGAGAACTGTGGTTTGAATAATTTTTTTCTTCTGCCAATGTAATAATAATTCTGTTTCTAATTAGATATTAAGTAGGTTTAGCTGATAAGGTAACAAAAAAGAATAAATATTTTCCCTCCCAACCTTTCAGATTCTTCTGTGTATTTCCTCCCTACTCCTTGAATAAAATCTTGGATAGATCCCATAGCTTTGAAAGGTTGCCAATCACTTTCATACATCAGTACTAAAATTGTCCAGTCCTATGTCATAACCACATCATTCCTCTCCCCCACTCCAGGGCTGCCTGTCTCAAAAGCCTAAAGTAGTGGGGAGAATGCAAGAGTTTTCTCTCTTCCCCATTTTGCTTTGCTACACTTCTTTTCCTTGCTCTGTTGGCATCAAATCAGGTACAGAGAGTATGCTGAAGAAAGAAAGATGTTACTTGAGTGGTACAGGCATAATTCAGCAATAAGCTTTCTAGGTATAGCATGCTGCTTCTTCCTTTTTTAATGAGTGCTTTTGTGAATGTCCTTGAAAAGAACCCCCACCGGGACATTCTGTCTGCAGCTTTCTTGATAAAGGCAATACCCTCTCTTAGATTCCTTCTTTGGCCCCTTGGTAACTAACAGTCCACTCTGTTGGAGGTCACATTGCCCCTCCAGGCATCCTCTTGGAAGATATTCAACTTGGCACTAGGCTTGCTATACTTAATTACTCTCATTTGGTCTACAGAACTATTCATGCATCCTTGTTCCACTGTTGCTGGAAATACAGTTAATTCCCAATAAAGTCTTCTCTTTTACTCTTGCGTGGCGCTCTCTCTCTCTCTCTCTCTCTCTCTCTCTCTCCTTAAAGTGAATCTACAGCAAGTATCTCATACTAGGTCTAATGCCCTGAAATTCCAATAGACATGTGTCCACCTCTCAAAGTTGGCCTTTTGAATGTCCTTCTCACTTGGTTTTAAGCTAGAAGGAAGCAACTTCCCGAAAGGGAAGAAAACCACAAGGCATTTGGAAAACTCACGTAAAAATCTCTCTCTTTCTTTTTTTTCGTCTCACAACTCTTTTGATGAGACAAGGGTGTATATAAATGGATTTTGCCCACACTTTTACAAGTCATGAATAGATTGTCCAGAGACTGTTTGGAATATAAAGTTTCCTGGCAAATGCTGTTTGGGTCCAGGTCTCAAGAGATTCAGCTGACAGAGGTGAAGAGAGCCTCCATTTAACCTTCCCATCAGATACTGGGTCACTCATCCTTTCCATTTTGTCTCCTTTTGTTAACTGGAATACATCCCTTTGTGGGTTGACTAGGGAGAAAACAACTACAGATTCTTTCTGATCCTCTTTTCAGCTGTTAGCTGACTGTCACATTCCATCCTCATCCCCAGATTCTTACAAATACCTCAAAGCTATGGACACTGCCCTCGTCCTGTATGATTTACTGATGGATGCTTCTTAGTTTATTATGTGACCAACAGAACTGCATCTCAGAGAAGTGAGAGCCGGCAATTGAAGTAGAGAACCTGACAAGATAAATTTTGATCCGGCAGCTTGAAGCTTGACTGTGCTGCTGCAGAACATATTTTAAGTTGTAGGAGACTGTATGCCTACTAATTGCTTCTACAAGAAAATATACCACCCATAAAGTACTTATCCTATTTGCAAAAAAGTCAGGATTAGAAACACAAGTGTGTTAGTCTGGAAGAGCAAGAAACAATGAATTGTCAGCTGAGCCAGCCCAGGATCATAGTTGGTCACAAAAGCACATCCACAAAAATGGGGACTTTGAAAGACAATGTACAGATTATTTTTTCCCTCTTTTAGAAAAAAAAGGTTTATTTATTTACGTTTATATAATGTGCTTTCAATTAGTTTTTGATGAGGAGAGTGCTTTTGTTTTTGTTTTTGTTTTCAGCTTTAGGGCTCTTAAAGTCTAACAAGGAAATGTTCTCCAATGATTTCCAACAGGACTCCAAGTAAAATCAGAAAATGTCCTTTCTACATGGGGTTACACATATCTCCTGCCACAGTATCAACTGGTTTACACTAACAACCATGGAATGTGAAAACCCCCCAAAGACTCCTTGAACCATCAGCACTAGGATATTGATTTATAATTATTTCCAATAAAATCTATCCTAAATTAGCAAAATAATGATTTGAGCATGTCAGGTAAAATTGCTTCACTTGCTTGATTTTCTTTTTTGTGCCTTGATCATGTACAAATTGCCTCTTCTTAGCTCTGTCTCTAATGCATGCTGTTTTGATGGCAAGCCATTAGAGAAGCCCCCTCAAATTATCCCAACTGATTCCTGGTAGTGTCACCTACTTGTAAGTTTTCATGATTGAACTGAAATACACTCTGGAAGCATTTGCCTTTTCAGTTACGATATGGAGTTGATAAGATCATCTTTCTCTGTTGACTCCCTTCATCATTAAGTCTCCAAACGCGTTCATTGCTCAGGCATAATTGTTGCTTAACTCTTGGACAATTTGTACCACTTGTACTTCAGGAAGTCTCTAATGCTGACATTGATGTTTTATAATCTTTCTAAACCATCAGCCAGCATCTTAAGTCACTATTAGCTTATTACAAGCAATCAAAAAAATCTAAAACCTCCTTATGAAGAATGGTTTGATGATGAATGCAGCAAGCCAGGAAGAAGTTGATTACAAATTTCATGCAAAACATATTGAAGGGCAAACATTCTGCTGATAGTCGTTTTTTGCTCTTTGCTCATTTTATGAGAGTGGTAAAAAAAAAAAAGTTTGCCATAAAATAATAACAAAATGAGAAACAGTTGTGTTAGAGCATAAGAATTTTGGCTTGGGGGCTGTGTCTTCTGGTGTTCAATTAAACCATTCCCACAATAGTTTCAAGAGTACCTAGGAATATGGGTATAATCATTACAGTAAGACCTTGACACTTCTTCTTTGCTTTGTGGACAGGATTCTACTACAGACATAACAAAACCTGCATCAGTAAACTTTTATTGCCATAGGTGACATTAAAGGTCTTGGAGTGTCGATTTATCTGTCAAGGCACCAAAAGAGAATATGTTGCCACCATGATTCTATAAACAATTTCCCAAGTGGTGTACCTCAACTTTGGCTAAAGAGTTCCTGTTGATTAGAAAAGCAGGTGTTTTTCTTTATGGGTGGAAATGGAATTTTGTTTTCCAGTGTTTGTGCAGGACAACAAACAGGATCCAGGTAGCTCTTGTCCAAGAGAGGTTTTGGACAGTGTTGTGTTATGTGAACAAGCTTGAGCCTGGCAAGTATTCAGAAACGTTATCAGCCCAAACCTGGTTGCCAAAGAGGCAAATTCACCAACAATTGTGGTGTGATTATTAATTAGTCTAATCAGTTGTACAGACTTTATACGATATCTTGTTTTCTGGCAGATGTTAACTAGAGCTTTGACTCAGTCAACAAAATCCATCTGGCATCACGAACCAACACTAATACCTGCAGGTTTTCTTTGATTTTGGCACAGCGGAAAGAATAAAAAAAAAAAAGGAGTTTCAGTTCCTTGCTAGAGATGATTGCCCATTATTATTTAATCTTCATCTTATAATCTTTGTTATTTAATCTTAACTAAACAAAACATTATGTGGCCTAGAAATGTTTTTCTCCTTTAAACTTTAAAATTTTATATCTAAACACAATGGAGAAAAGAAAATCTTTAAAATTCATCTACCTGAAAAAAAAAGATATTTAAGTAAAAACAAATGATCCACATATAATTAGCTGATATAGAAGATTCTAGAATTTAACTATTCGCATAGCTATTTTTAATAAATTTGTAATGACAGTTTACTTAACAGGTGTTTTTGAGTACCTACTCTATTTTACTATTGTTAGAAAATGAGCCAAGAGAATACCTTAAAGGATTCCCATAAACATTTCAAAAGCAGCATTTCCTAAAGGAAGAATTAATATTCCCTTTATATGTGTTCCCTTCTGCGTTGTGCTAACATACTCTTTGCACTGCCATTTACAAACTAAAGACACTCTTGACTTTTGTTTATTTTTCTTCAGTCCCCTAACAATCTTAACCAACCAGTTACCAAGTCCTGTTTACATTCTGGTCTTCAGAATCTTTCCCCTATACTCTGTTTCAGTTTCCATAATTTGTTTATTCTTTTAATCATCCAACATTTGTTTGTTGATTCCAGTTATTGAGCTAAATGGTAGTGAAGCAAAAATTAATAAGACACATTCTCTGTCCTCAATATATTGCTATCAAGGACTAAAGCATTTGGAAAAAAATATTACGAAACAATATTTTAGGTGACATGTATATATGAGACTATTGTGATCACACCAAGACACCTAGCCCAATCTGAAAACCATCTATGTTGGTTGTTGAAGGATGAACAGACCTTAGTCAAGTGATGGCAGAGGAAAGATGGTCCCAACTTCATGGGGTAATGTATAGCTCTGAAATACCCACTCCTCTCAGGTTATAAGAAACCAATCTGAATAGTATAGAGCTTCAGACTAAAGGGAACTGGAAAAAAAAAGTAGGCAAGATCCAGATCATGGTCAGAGCTTGGAATTTCATCCTGTAGGTGGTAGAGACCGATGAAAAGGTTTGAAAGAAAGGAGTGATT